GAGAGAGAGAGAGAGAGAGAGAGAGAGAGAGAGAGAGAGTGATAGAACGAGAGAGGGGGAGACAGACAGAGAGATAGCGCGCATGGACGTCGCCGCTGCCTATTCTAATGATTATTTGATGAAGTCGACGTAGACATATCATTATAATAAATTAATGTGCCCATCACAAAGCAAGAACAAAGCCACCTCACACTGCGCCCTCTATCAAGGGACCGGTTTGCGCCCCCGTGCTCTCCACTCGCGTTTTACTGACGGGAGAAGTATACCACTGTGAGGTTACCCATGCTGCTTCGCTGCATCTACCTACAAGTCATCGCTGCGGTCAAACTCCACGACAGATGGCGCTCTCGCTCATGGGCTACACTGCCACAAGTAGATTTCGGTTACAATTTGTAACGCTTTTTTAGTACAAGTTTTACAGCAGGCACGTTACTCGGATCCTATGTAATAAGATTTGGACTAATAAAAGTTGCAAAGATATTAAAAATCCGACCGTTATTTCATGACAAATTTGATAAAATAGAGATACGAAATAGTATGCGGATTGTGCACCCATTTACCTCTTTCAAATCATACGCTGTTTACGAATCTCCATTCGCTGGATTTCCCCCGAGCTCCGCCCACTTTAAAAATAGTGCTAGCATTGTGGCAGTGGTATCCTGAGTGAGCGAAGGGGGCGCTCCATGCAGTTTGCGCTGCGGTTACCTGAAATCCGTCTCTACGGGGGCTATACTGACGGTTGTTGTTGGTTCATCAGCGAACCTCACTGACTGATCTGTTACTCGCGCCGTGCACTGGTTACTTAATTACCTCCGCCCAACGGAGTTGGACGGAGGTAATATTTTCGCTTTCGTGTGTTCGTGTGTTCGCGCAATTGATATTAGCGCGGCGGTCGATCGATATCACCCAGCGAGTCAGCAAGCCAGCGAGCCAGCTCGTAACACATACATGTTACATGGGAGCGTGTACATGTCAGTACGCTGGCGTATATCGTGTGTTATTCGTGTGTTCGTGTGTTATTCGTGTGTTCGTGAGTCGTATGGCGTATGGCGTATGTTGCTGGCGGAGGTATGCACTCTCCGTGAGTGCACTCTGTCTAGTTGAACTTGTGGTAATCACCTACAAGTCATCGCTGCGGCTACCTGTAATCCATATCGCACGTGAACAATGTATACCTAAACGTAAGATGTTGTGCGACGCAGCGAGACATCGGCTGTCTCGAGCGAGACATCACGTTGTCTCAAGCGAGACATCGCGTTGTCTCCAGCGAGACATCGCGCTGTCTCTAGCGAGACATCAGCTGTCTCGAGCGAGACATCGCGCTGTCTGCAGCGAGACATCGCGTTGTCTCAAGCGAGACATTGCGCTGTCTCGAGCGTGCATCTAGCGGGGGCTGCGACTGACGATTGTTGTGGGTTCGTCCTCCAGAGCGAAGCTCCTCACTGGTCTGTTACTCGCCGCACTCATTACTTCGTTGTGGCAACGCTATTAGTATGTGTGATGTAAGGTGGTCAGGTCTCACGCTCTCGTGGTCAGGCTATTAGTACATGTGATTTGCTCTCTCCTCTCCCTCCATCTCTCCCTCGCTCTCTTCCTCCCTCACTTCTCCCTCCCTCCTCCATCCCGACACACTCCCTGCCTCCCAACGTCCTGCCCCTCCGCGCCTTGCGGCTCCCTCGCGCTAACACGGTGTTGGCGGCGGTGCGAGCGGACAGCGCGAGCGCGTGTGGCTGTCGCGCGATGCCGCCTCTCGTGTGCGGGCGCCAGCGCGGGACGCGGGGCGAGACGTACCGCACTCACGCTGTCCCAGCAGCAGCAGCAGACAGCCGCGGCAGCAGCAGCAGCAGCAGCGTCTCTCTCCGCTAGCAGGGGATGAGCCAGCCGCAGCAGAGCGAGGATGGGTGGTGCGCGGCGCGCTCTGCCCCAAAGCAGTTAGCATCATGGGGTCCTCTCCTCTTCCATTCACCCCCACGCTTTCTCTCTCTCCACCCCTCCCCTGGGAGGGGTGGAGAGAGAGAGAGAGAGAGAGAGAGAGAGAGAGAGAGAGAGAGAGAGGGTAGGGTAGGGGTAGGGTAG